TTGGTTTTTGTTCGTCGAGAGAGAACTTTSCTTCTCAATTGCCAACTCAGTTCGAAATAGCACCTGTTGGCAAGAGTTATCCTGCGTTGGATTTCCAGGCTGACATTGTTGGTGGTGTTTACGCTGGTTCCAAGATAGACGAAATTATCTACGACTTCAAAGTTATGACTGTCAACAGGATATATTTCGTCTTGCTCTCGTTCACTGTCAGACCCATTTGCTTCGCCTCCTTGTCCAGTCTGGAGAAAGCAGAACTACGCCAGCAGCTCTACACTCTTATAGAATATGGTACCTTCTCTATTTAGTTCTGCAGCTCGAACTATTTTCTCCAGAAGCAGAAATCGCCTTGTCTGAAACCTCGTTTGGTATCGAACGGCTCGGAGAGGTCCTTCCCGATTCTGACGGAGCTTTTGACGCTGCTCAACGTCAGCTTACACAGCCGTATAAATTTTGCAGGGATACCAAATTCAGACATCGCGGTATAAAGGCAGCTTCTTTTCGTACTGTCGAAAGCAGTGAGTGTCGATTCTCCTTTCACGGGTCTTTTCCAAGATTTGGCGCATGGTGAATATCTGGACGGTTGTTGATTTTCCTGGGCTGAAGCCACACTGATAGGGCCCAATCAGTTTGTTGACTGTGGGCTTTAATCTTTCACACATCATGCTCGATAGAACCTTAAATACAATTTTGAGGAGGTTTATCCCACGGTAGTTGGCGCAGATTGTGSGGTCYCCTTTTTTGTTAATTGGGCCTAGCACACTTAAATTCCAATCGTTGGGCATGCTTTCGTCTGATCATATTTTACAAAGAAGCTGATACATGCTCCTTGTCGGTTTTTCGCAGCCGTGTTTTAATAGCTCGGCCGGTAATCTATCGGTCCCCGCCGCTTTGTGGTTCTTCAGGCGGGTAATTGCTATTCGAACTTCTTGGTCGGTTGGTTGGTTTTTCATTGGGGGTGTTTAGGGGATGTTTCGCCTTCTCACGTTAGCTCTCCTTCGAAGGGATGTTCCCAGGCTCCATAGAGCCATTTGTAAAAGAATCGTTTCTGGCCACTCCCAAGTAAATGGCGATCAGAGAATTTTCCTCACTTGCGTGAACTTCTACCCATGACTCCATCCTCCGTGTATCTAGATGTAGAAAAATGAGCATGAAAATAATAATTCTTTTAAAATCAGATTATCGGATAAAKATACACATAAATATTTAGAGTCACGTAATTCCTTATTGATCAGATGATTTTTTTGGAAATCGAAGTATTAGTATTGTTTCAATATTGCTCGTAAGCACAATGTAACATGCAGCTATCTTCCTCAGTAGTTATGAAAAAGTTGTATAATAAGAAACCAAAAACCATTGCTTTCAAATTACTGTAGCATAAGTAGTTAAACACTCAATCATTAAAAATTGTTTCTTTAAAAAAAACTGGTTTGCATGCATTAGCGAAAGTTGTGGCGAACTTGAACTCAGTAGATGCGAAATGGCGGTTTTTAAAAACACATCAGTTTTGCATTAAGTGTGGCAACGTCACCCACCTACGAAGCATGTCAACTCTGCGACTGCAAGTGAACAAGCGGCGGACGATGACAACGAAAACTAAAGCGGAAAAAAGGATTTTTATATACATAAAATATACATATAAGTGTGTGTGTGCATGTACAACCAACGGTAATTGCCGTTGAGGCAACATCGATGCAGCAAAGTCTTCTTTGCCGTTTGATTAATGAATATTTAAGTTGCGGACTTGAAAAATTGTTCCAACGAACRTTGTACCACCTCAACTGTGATGTAGCCAAGCAGTAACAACAACAACAACAACACCATAACAATTGTCTGCGCTCTGTATTTGTAATACAACGCAACTTAACCCAAGCGACACCGGCGTAAGGGCATTACGAATTAAGGGTGTTGCATGCAACAGGGTCACATCAGCACCAGCAGCCAACGAGCGCCAAGTGATTTACTTGCCGCCACCGAAAGCAAGGTGTGCACGCTCTAAGTTTCACACAATTTTCTAGCCTTACAGCCACACACACAGTCATACATATGTATATGCCTGTGTGTGTGTGTGCGTTTGTTGTGGCATGGCAAAGCTCTAAATTAGGCGGCTGTTTGTCGAGCACACGTACGTGGTAGTCGACGGCTTAGTACAACAAATGGCAAATGGTAAGCAGTTAGCGGCTAACGGTATAAGGCAAGCATGCAGCAGGCGGCAGTTGTCAATTGAAAACGTGCCAACAATTTRCAACGACGATTAATCGTTAGACTTTTTCGCCTTTTCCTTGCCATTCAAATTGCTTACACCGCGTACTTGCCACCGGACAAGGTGTTGCATATTTCGCGTTGTTGCACGTCCTGCAAGAGTCATCTGCAGTTAACGAACGTACACGATTTGCTTATCGTCGCCTTACCATAGAATAACGGCTGGACGTTCACATCGTGTTGTGAATGTTTGAGWGACGGGTCCGCAAAGGTCGCTTAGATCGCTATCGACCGAACTCTTCTTTATGTAAGTGTTTTTGATTCCAAATCTGACCATATGATTTTAAAATCTTAAAAGGAACCAKGTCATACTGAAAGAATATAAGCATATCCAATGGTATCTATATTCAAATAAAAGATCTGGCCATATCTAATAATATATCGTAATGAAACTCATTGATGTTTCCAGGGATGGTTTTGTGAATTTTTCATATAAATTTTGAGGTTGTGTAAAATAGACTGTATACAAAAGTTATAGATCTGTCTATAGAACATCCATATGAAAGGTTAAAGCAACAGGTTCTAATGACCCTATTCCTTTTTACCAAATAGAGATTTCGACAAAGTAACCTTTTTCCTAGCGATGATCAAATATTCCGCATGCCCTCGCTGTCGCTTTATAATATGCACACATACATACTATATCAATTTTCAGCTATCCTCTGCCATCGCTTCACCACCTTTGTTATTATTTTCGGTGCTCTTACTTCCCAATAATTTGTTTGCGCTTAATTTGTTGACTTTTATTGTTATTTATCGCGATGCCAAAGGAGCTGCCAAACTGCCGAGGAGTGGCAACCACTACGACCGCCTCGTATATGTATGTAGCAGCAACACACACACATTTTTGRATTTTGCGGTGCGTTCAGCCATAATTTGGCACAGCCAAATCGCATTTTTATTCATTTTTGAGGCGATTTTAATGTGCCACACATTTGAGCGGCGCTGTGCCGCTGCGTTGCGCTGTTGAAAATTAATAAATTTTCCTCTATATGCTGTGTCCAAATAATATTTATGTATTATGCGGTGTGGTGTGAGTGGTTCGGCTCTTGAATGGAGTGCTTTAGACTTAGTTTATTGAGCGGCTAATAAAAGTGGAGATTTTATGAGTGTAAACATTTCGCCCGGCAGACGTCCGCACTTGGCAGCAGTGAAGCAGGAAATTAGATGCTTTTCTTCGCCAATGCATTAGCATACTTGGGTGAGATTTAAAAAATATATAAAGTATTTTGAATTTTAAATATACAATTTAAAGAATCTTAGTTTAAGATTGTTTATTTTAATATCGAAATACAACGTTAGTTCTGTGGTCTAAAATGGATTTGTTGTGAGCAAATCTTATGCATCGCATCTCGTATGCCCTAAAGCAGTTGTTAGGCGAACTTTAGTCGCTGTAAGTCTTACTTTAAGAATGGGTTATTTGAAAATCCAAGCCAAGTGGAGTTCTATTTGGAGCTGGAAACTTTAAGTTGGACAATTTTTGTGTTACAAAACAATAAAAACCGTTAAGAAACTAGATTTTGATCGGTCAGTTCATATGGCAGTTAATGCTATAACAAACCAATCTGAACAATATGATCGATTATAGTGTTGCCTTAGGCAATAACAGTCGRCAAACGAAAAAGTTTTTCATTAATAGACTTGATTTTGATCGGCCAGTTTTACAAGGCAGTTATTTAATATAGTGGCCCGAGGTGACGGCGGTGGTGGCGATTTTGACAAATGACCAGCTTCCTGGGCAGAAGGTGAAGTGTGAAATATTTCTAGTTGATGCCTCAGAAACTGTGASAATATTTCACGTATATATAGACAGACATAAGGAAATAGCTTATTCGAATTATCTCGTTACACTTATACATGGTATATATTTTCTTATATTCTTTCGAAATAGCTTCATTTCAACCTGTTCAGGATATAATTATACTAATTACTAYATTTAATATAATTATTTTTAAATTAATATAAAACGATCCCGTTTTGAAAGTTTTTAAATAATTTTAACGATTCATGAATTTTTTTTTTAAATTGACTCAGTCCTATTACTTTCCGGACAAAGCCTGTATGTAGTAAATCGGTATGCAATATATTCTATATCAAATTTAATCTGATGTTAAACGTTAGAATTTAAGAAGACTAATCTTCTCTGCTTGCATCATGTAAGGCTGATTGATTTCTGACAATTCTAGTGATCATGTTGCCACAAGACTTTTCGTCACATTCAAAATTTGAACGTAAGCTTATATATTCACTATGATTTCTAGTAAAACTTAAAAATTCTTCATTHCTTTGAGAACATGTTGCGCTGATTAAACTTTCGTAAACAAAATCAACAATCAGACTGATAAAATATGAAGTATTATTTGTAAACATGCCACGGCGCGGCAATCAACAAAGCCCGGCCGACTGTGTACTCGCGGCGGACATGCCACTTTGGCTCGCTGCAGCGCACGCCACCGCATGGCAACGCAAACAACAACCTCTAACAGCCAACCAACGAGCAGCGACCACCTTTACGGTAACGCACAAACGCCTCAACGCTCAGCGGCTACATGCGTTGCCTGGCAGCCGAATATTGCCTTTGCGCTTGTTGTTTATAAACAAAATCACCTGGCAAGGCTTATGCTTTTCAAATATTTTCAATTCCCCGTATTTTTCTGGACGCTTTGTCAGTGCGCCCTTCACATTTCAACGTCATTCCATTTATTTAACTCGATTTCATTTTACTCCCTGACGCGACGACGGAAAAATATTTTATTTGCCTCTTCACAAAGACAAATATTATATCAATTATATTTACAGCTGCAAAAATCTGCAGCGCCACYCGGCGAGGTAACGAAAACAACGACAACGACAGTCGAGTTAACGGCAAATCCGTGGAAAACATATTTTTATAAAAGGAAGAGGAACATCGCATCGGTCATTGTATAATTGTGCCCAACTGCTTACAGCAGCAGCGAAGGAGGRGTAGAGACGCATTTAGTCGAGAGTTGTCGTAGTGCGTGGCCATGAAGAAGTCCGTACAGCCGGAGACTAGGCCCTACTGCGTGCAGCCGCGCAGGCCAAAGCGCATCACAAACATGAAAAGCTGTGAGATGCGCAAACGACGCATCGAACCGCCCACACCGGCGCGTCGGAACATCGTCGACTGTCCGTTCTACACATTCAAGTACAAGTTCGACGAGTTGCCACTTGATCCAGCGAAGGCGTACATCGAGGAAAAGATTGGTAAACTCACAAAATTTCTTGTGCTTAAAAGCGTTTATTTGTTTCTTCTTCTTTAGCCCACATGCAGGTCGACCAAATTGTGGGACGCTGCAATAAGGAATTGGACTTTCACATCTATCAAATGGACCATGTCAAATGGGAGTATGAAGAATACGATGCTGACAGCCATCAGGATCTGAAGTTGGAGGATATTGTAATGCCGCAGAAATTCGAAATGTTGAAGGACAAAAAGGATCATAAATATTCATTCAATAGTCGAGGTGAGTGCCTACGTATATATAAATCAACCATTTCACTGTTGATGAGTGACATATTTAACGTCAAACGACAGCAGTTTCCTTGTCTACCAAGATCTGAAGTAAAATTGATTTTAGAAAAGTTATTTGACTGAAACGAAGTTATGTCMGACGCATAGAAAGCGTCACCAAAATGTACAGATTTAACTATCAAATATAATACTTATGAATATGGCTTAAAAAATAAAAGTGGAAGGTTGCCACCCATTTGGGAATTTATACCTTGCTTAATGTACTTAGTTAATTATACGGAAGCACTTAAATTAATAATTTAACCAAAATGTCAGTTTTCTTCCATTAAAAAATGTTTGAAGGGATTTGCCACTTGTGTATAAAAATATTTAAGATTTAATTCAATAAATTTGATAAAGCAAAAAAATTATAATAATACGAATATCGAAGTAAAGAGCAGTAAAGAAGCTTGTAATTTAAAATACTTTTGAGAAGTATTGCTATTTGTTCAGAAAATTAATTTAGATCAAACAGATAAATTTATGGTATAACRGAAATAATGGAAGTTGTTTTAGACGTGTGGTTTTCAATGAGCTACTTGGTTTGGTTTGCCTTTTTTTCTTCGAATTAAAGCCGAAACGGTTTCGATTTTCACAAGAACATTTTTATCAGCGATGAAGCGCACTTTCGGTTGAATGGATATGTTAATGATAATGCACAAGTCATTGTTGAGACGCCGTTGCATTTTGCAAAAGTCACTGTTTCATGTGCCTTGTGGGCAAAGGGAATTCAAATTTCTCAAAAATGAAGACGACCATAATGTTACAGGTATATGTCATAGAGCCATGATTAATGACTTTTCGTGCCTGAATTGGAGGATGTTGGGGGTATGTCCTTTCTTCCACAAGAACGCGACACAGTAAACGCATCATTTAAATTATTGAAGGAAATATTGAATCTCTCGTCTTGGGCTTTGGACGTGACGTCTTATCTCTGCTGAAATATTTTTTGTGGGATTAAGTGAAATTACTCGTCTACGCARTTAGGTCTGAAACGATTTACGCCTTGAAGTAAAAATTCATCCTGAACCAAAAGTTGGTCGAAAATTAGGGCTTTCGGCTGAAATTCTGTAAAACCATACATCTAAAATAAACACCCTTCGTTATGGATTAATAAGAAAATTCAATAAGTCTAACAAAGATTTCTACAGGAATGTTGTTATGTGTTTTGCTACCTGGCTGCAAATTGTATTTGAGACGTCGAAAATCCTATAACTTAACAAACTGGTTGATCAAAATCAAATCTTTGCAAAGACTTTATCTTTACTAAATTCAGCATGGCTCAAAATATAAGTTTCTTATGTTAAAAGAAGTGAGTGAGAATGTATGCAGCTGACATGAACGACTTTTTCTTGTTTTTATTGGAGACATTGAATGTCACTGCAAGTGTGTCTCATTGGAGTTGACAACATTAGAATTATAACTCCGTAGCAATAATACAAACTGCAACAACACTACACATACMTCCACATATTTTAGTCTACCAACGCTTGTACAAGAGTGCATAGTAATAGTACATAAAAACATGTCCATACATACAGTATCAAAAAATATTTGTAGAATTCAAGGGTCATAAAATTTCTATTTACTGCCATTGTGGTGTCTATAAAAAAGCAACACACATTTTGCGCTTTCAATTTTGTAACCTACTCTCCAGCGTCTCTTTGGCACATTTGCTTTTAAATTATTTATGCGGTCAAAGCATTGGAAATGGCACTAAATACTTGTGAGTGTATCGAAAGCCGCTTATGGGTATGGGCTTTTTCTTTCAGTGTGCGTGAATACCCAACGCAATATACATTTGGCAGTGTATTAATGCAATGAAGCGCCTATTACTTTCACTACACTCCTTGCGCATGCAAATCGATAACGCCATTTACATAAAAATGTTATTTCAACTTGCCAAAGGCCATAATGATGCCCGCCGAGGCCTACTACAGATGATATTGGATTCGGCATCAGCATCCCGCACTGTTTGGTATGTCCAAAGTATGGCCGAAATGGCCTCTGGGAGTTTTCACATACTGCCGTTTTTGCTCTCGCCTTAAACTTGTACAGTGGTGGGCATTTAGGTGGAAACGACTTTTGATGGAAATTCAACTAGCAATGTGGTTCCAGRTTAGTTTTCCGGTAGTTGCAATTCATTTTCCATACAAAACTTTGCATTCCCGTGGAAAATGTTTTATGGTCTCCTATTCTTCTACTTCCTGACAACTTCTACAATAGTCATTGAATGGTGATCTCAGTCCAATGGCATACCGGTGAATTAGACATGGACGTGTTAGCACTCCTATTCGAGTTTTTKTGTCAATCCTTTTCAATTTTAGTAGTCGGCATTTATTATTTACCTACAAGTGGGCAGAAGTATATAATTTCTTTGTTTTTCTTGTTATGAGCACACTCTGWCAAAATACGACGGCTTTGTTCAATTGCTTTGATCTCTACTTGGAGTCAGTTCAGGTGGTATTGGGTGAAAAAAAGCGACTAAAAGGAGAATTCGCCCTGCCTAAGAGTTGAMTTCGAATTGAAGTTAAAAAAAAACCGGATTCTTAAATAAGCTAATGTCGCYTCTATTTACATTACCAACACCGTATTGCCAGCGACTGCCCGTCATAGGCCGATGGAACGATTTAGTTTGGCTTACAGCTCTACATGGACAGTGGTATAGGCACTCATTGTTAGAATAAAAACTAAAAAATGGAGCCCAACAAAAAGTTAAAATTCGGTCCTCATTGGCATTGTCACAGTAGTGGCAAATGTGTGYTAGTGACTGCTTATCACGCATGATTTTAAATACCCCAATGTGAACTTACATACTGTTCAAGTATATGTGCGTATTTGTATATGTTTTAAGGCACTTCAACTTTAATGCCTTTTGGTGTACACTAAAGAGCAGTCACACTGCCAACTACTTGTGGACCCCACGTAGTTTGTGAATAATGTTCTATTTTGCATATTTAACTACATATGTACGAATATGTGTTATAATTCAGAGTACTGACAGCTGTGTTTGTGGTGCATATTATGAGGCGACCTCGTGGCAGAAAGAGGTCGAGGTGCAAATAATTTGGTAAAATTTCGTTTAAATGCGTTTGGTTTTTGAAGATATGAACTTATGATCGCAATACCGACTTATTTTACAACAAATGTGTTTTAAATTAAGGCTGTTCAATAGATCATATCAGAAGAGCAAGAACCAGAATTCTGAAATTTTAATTACAAAATGTCCTAATATTGTAGTACATCACTTTATATGATGTTATATATTATTTAAATTTTCTAAAATAAATTTTTTACAGCGTGCGACCAATTTCCATGGATTACGAAGTGCTGGGAAAATAGTAAGTCGGACTTTTTCATAGAATTTAATATAAAATATACTAAAACAAAACGACCAGAGGCTTTCGCGTCTACTATGTACTCGAAACACCAAGCTATACAAAATTTATTAAAGAACGTTAATATAAATAGAAACACTTGAGCTCCCGGCCGTTTAATTCCTTAATTAAATTAATAATTCACCCACATTTTTAATTCAAGTGCTCTTCTGTTTTATTGCACCAAAAAGGAGAATACTATACACAATAATCATATTTTTTATTATATACTTGTTACAGAGATGCAACTGAACATACATACGATTAGTTTGCTTACACTTAGATTTCTCATACGCAAATTAAAAGTTATAAATGGCTTTAAAGATTTCAATATTTTTCATTAATTAAATCATAATTTATTATTGTTTATAGTTGTGCTTTATACAATAATATTTTAACTTCGCCTTTATTCGCGAGTTTTCACACTGTGGTGACGTGCTCCTAAAAGTATGCAATATATTTTACTACATAGTTGTTAAAAATATAATGCCATAGTTGCCAGCTGCACTAAATTTAAAAAGTACCAAGATCGTGTTTTCGGTAAAAAAAACGTATTTTTTAAATCAAACAAAGAATTGTTTTTATTTAAGTTAGAATTTACTGAAACAAAAATCTAATATACATATACTGTGCCTATCATATAAATTAAAAACACAAAACTTTTTTGCTCTTAACTATTGAACACCATAAACTATTATATTAACAACTAATGGAAATGCAGAAAAAGAAAAACGAGAGAGGATTATTATGTTAAATTTTCTTCACAATTTGAAAGCAAAGAGAATTTTCATACCATGAACAAGGTATACGGCAGGCGAATTGAAAAGTCCCCGGTAAAATAAAACACATTTTTTGGCAAAATTCGTTTTTTTTTTTTTTTTTAATTCAACATAGTTTCCCTCAAAAGTGATACAGTAATTATAGCGAGCCTCTAACTTTTCGGTACATTTTTTGTGAATTTTGAATGGGAAAGTAAAAAAAGTCTTGACTACTGCATTTTATACACTTCGAACACTTTATTTCACAAGTGTATCGGTTTTCCATTTGTCTTCCATTCAACTCATGTGGTACGGTTGGAACTATTTTTTGCACGTTGCTTCTGATAAAGGACGATCATCATGTGACTYGACAAATATAAAAAATAAGGCTCTTTCACAATAAACGTTCCGTACCAGCACATTTTCATCTAAACGCCCACTTTACACCGATAAACGCGAACTGGTCCTTCAGTTTTTGAGATACCGAACCCTTATCTCACCAATTGTCAGAACCATCGATTTCGGATTAGAATGAAATGTTTGAAATAAACGTTCGGAATCAAGTATTGTAATAAATCTTTTGTAATTTTGAAGAATATTTTACCCTCTTGTAACCGAAGTTAACCTTTTCTCTTGTTTTCGATTTTTCGTTTCAAATTTAATATATATATTTTACAATTAGTAATTAAAAAAAATTTCTTTAAAGAACTCAAAAATTTCTTTGTTAGATGCAAAAAATAAAATTACCTAAGAACTACTACTACTTTCATTATTTTTTAACATAACAAGAATAGGAACACTTTTTCATAAAATATTTTACCATAAACAACTTGTTGTGTATTTGACTCTTCTCTAGTGGAGCCGAGTGAAGAGATGGTTTATCGCGTTACCAGCGAGCTTCTGCAAGTCTATTGCGCACGGCGCGTACGCATCTTCTATCCGGATATGCGCACCAAGAGCCAACTGTACACGAATGAATTGCGCAAAATGCACGGCAGTCCCTCCGATGTTATAGGCAAGTGACCCTACAGCCATTAACAACAACAAATACTGTAACAAATTTGCTCTTTCACATACCGCAGGCGGCTTACACACACAAACAGCGCGGGATCTGCGCGTTGACGCACTGAGACGGCCCCGCAAACCGCCCAAATTCACACCTGGCGATCATTATGCGCTGCGCACGCCTGAAGGTATGCAACAAAATTCCCAAACCACCGAAACTGACTACCAAGCGGAATATATATATATATATATCTAGTGGAGCCGATATATATATACTTAAAAATATGCACGCTTTTTGCTAAAGACGCTTTAGCAGCACTCTTTTATTTACTTGCGCTTTCAAGCTACTTAGACACTTTTATACTTTTGCATTTTTCATGCGAAAGTTTTCCACCTGCTGCAGCTACAAGCATAGCAACGCCAACGCTTGTGTTGATGTTCGTTAATTTTTTTCTACTCTTTATCTTTGTTTATATATACATGTGTGTCTGTGAATGTACAAATTTGTGTTGCATGTGGCACGCCTTGCAGAATGCCGGAACGAGCTAATACGCATGGGCAAAGTTATAGACAAATTAATAGAGCCAACATTGCGACGTGCCAGAGAGAACTTAAGCCGCCAGGCCGAGGGTGGCGGTGCGACAACAGCTAAAGYAACAGCAACAACAACAAAAGGCAAGTCGGTAGCGGCATCAAAGCAAATGACCAGCGCAGTGGAGCGCGGAGCGGGCGATGCCTGCACGGAAAAGAAGACGAAGCGTTTAGTAAAAAAGGTGAGTGGACGACGGGGGTGTAATCGCAAATATTTGCAAAAGTATGCTGAGAACAAAGCGGTGTAGGTAGCAACTTCGAAAGTGCTGAAGTTATAAGTCGTTTGGAATGCAAAMAACAAACAATAAAGAAAATAGAATAGCAAAAATATTATAATAATATAACTGAACTCTAAGAAAGTTAAAAGCGAACAGACAAAGGTTGAAAGAAGTTGCAAGCACTGTCACGCATTGAATCACCTCTCGTCGCCGATGTTGCCGATGTTGTAAAAGAATTGTTCTCTTAATTTTTGTTCATAACTAAGCACATACAGACACATATTAATATCAACTAATTTTATTTCTTTCTGCACTATCTCCGCCTGAGTAGCAAAAGAAGAATCCTTGCAACCGTTACGATGCGATGYTGCGACCCTCGGACTTCCCCACCTTCGAGGACTACATGAAGTGCATGAAACGCTACGAGCGCGAGTAAGTGAAGACCAACAAAGCAAACATAAAAACGCCGCAAAACATTTGTGTGCGGCAAAACTAACAAACAAAAACAATTTTGTATAAAACGGCATATTGCAAGCGCCATGCATAATTTGTAGTATTGCAGCTGAAGCCCGCGGCCATGTTGCATCCCGCCAAGTATTTGCTTGCAAGCTGCCTGTCCGGGTGTGTGTGTGTGTGTGTAAAATATGCTCATCTCCACGAGGGTGCATGTGCAACATTACGTCCGTGTGGCTCTTAATTAATATGGTGCTTGCCTTTGCATATGTAGCCCAGGGCCCAGTGGCAACTGTTATGTAATGCCACGATGTAAGACACGTCAGGGCTCATTAAAATAAATTAACAAGAATTTGTACGCCCGGGTGCACATATTCTTCATTCACCGGACGTGGCCACATCTAATTGAGTGCCACTAGTTGAAAATATTTATTTATATGATTATGTAATGATTATGATTTTTACTCGCAGGAGATTCAAGTACATCGAAGGCCTGCAACCGGTCGATCCGGAGGTACAAAAGGCGGTCATACTGGCACGTTATGAGACCAAATTAAAGGAGGCTGAGCAAAAGTTTACACTGAAAATCGAAACGCGCTACAAATATCTAATGAAAAGTGTACGTATGTAAACAATATTTATTGAAAATATTGAGATTCTCTTKTAACTATAAAAATAGTCGAAAGGCATTACAAATACGACTGGGTGCTCCCAGAATGGTATTATTCTTTCGCCAGAGCAGAGAAAGGGACAAGTGTTTAGGATCGAGCTGTTTTCATAATCGGATTATACGTTGAGCTGCAAAAATTTGGAATTGATAATATTAGTCCTATACTCATCTACGTAGTTATTCGGTTATCCGAATCTCTCAAGAAGGCGAGGTATTGTTTAGAAAGTTTTGCAAAGTTAGGCTTTGAATGAAGTTAGGACTTCAGTTGAATAACAACAAAGCACCTTGAATTTATCACAAATCTGCTTAAGTGCTCTATTCATATTTCCGCTGTTTTACATGAGGTCCGAGGTGTTTTAGTATGGCAAGGCGACACATTCGAAGAGGGAGAGGAAGGGCTGAGTATATTTCTTCTTCCTTTAAAGGAGGCGATGCCTTACGAATTTTCAAAAAATTAGAAGAAGATTTTTCGCTCTAATATAGTCGTGAAGTTTCATTGGTTTACTCAAATATTTTCGAAGAAATAGGCCCTAGAACCATGGCAATTGATGCTGCGGCCTATACAACCGAAGAACTTTGTGCCTCGTTTCCTCGAAACTAACTTTAATTATCCGGCCGTCAAAATTGTGACCGAATTATTTAACCAATTTACTTGAACTAAATTGTATCTTATAGACAATTTTCTATTAAACTGTGTSATGGTGCGCTTTTCCGAGAAAAATGTCATTTTGATAGTTGTTTAAATATTTCATTATCGAAAAACACAGGTAAAAATGGCACTTTTTACAAATACCTGGTCTACATCCCCGATTTTTCGAAATTCTCAAAAACCTCTACTATGCACTTCATAAACGCTTCCAGATTAAAAATAAATTTACTTTTTTCGTTTCGGATAGAAGCCTAGCCAGGAAGTTGACGACCGCAAAAAATTTTCAATCAACGGAATCGTTGATATTTCCGCCCCTTTTTTTTTTACATAAAATAATTTTTATTTTGTAGTTCAATAATACCTCTTAATATATATGCAAAAAAAATTGGATGTAATCTATTTCTATTCTATCATAATTGGAAAAAATTACCTTTATTGACGGCACTAAAGGTAAAGGTCTTCTTCTTAGAAGACACAACTGTGGTCAGGAAGCCCTCAGAGCCCCTCTCTTCCTCTTAAAAGTAGAAGTCACCAATCTCTGCATTTTCTCTTATTCAAAGAGTAATAGAGCCAACGATGCGAGTTTAAACCAAGAAATAAATCGATATTTCAACCAAAGTCTGTTAATAATTACACTTTGAACATTGCAGTGCATGACTCGGGCTTTAGAAAACTTTAAATTCTTTATATAAGTAACTGATAGTTTGTTGTTGGATTTCTCAACTAAAAAGAAAGCATGTAACGGTTGCTCTTGCGTGACTGCTGAAGGCCATTTGCACCTGCAATTACACTTCACCGACCCGRCACGCACATGAATACATATACATATGTATCTACAATTGGTATTCAAGAGGAATATTTTTACTTGTATTTATGTAAGCAGGAACTATAGTAGCAAGCGGTATGTATAAATATTAGARCGSGTCGATTTACTGTAAACGGAAAAAGTGAAAGTATCGCAGAAATGTTTTACGGATCATTCTGAGCAACTTTCTATAAGGAACTGTGGGTCTAAACCCGGTTTCTGGCCTGCTATTTGCAAGAAAAATTKTATGAAATGGAATTTAATTCTATTGATCAATTGTTGGAATCGGCAAGATCCGACAACTATATCGCATATCTTCCATACAACAAATTCAARTTCAGATTTTTTAAACTTCGCCTTCAAAATCGCTGGCTCCAAACCGGCTTTAGGCCCATAGTCCCTCAAGCAAAGTAGTTCAGAATGATTCGTGGAACATTTTCCTAAGCTACTTTATTGAAAAAATCGACTCGTTCTAATGTATATACCTATATACATACATACTTRTATAAATAATACAGATATTGTTAAGTAACGCTACGGTAAGCTGAGCACCACCAGCGTGTTGAACGAAAATTTTGCTCTGTCATATTGTTAATTAGTAAAGTGCAGCATTTCATAATCTAACGCAAGAGGAAGGTAGGAGAAATGTGTTTGAATAAGAAAAAAGCTGCAACAGCAAAGTTTCATAATTTATCAAATAATAATGCTGTTACACGTACATAACCTTAAATAAAAATATATTTTTTTTATTTTTGTTCTCGAAGCACCTTGACTTATGCATACACACATACTTAAACACGTATTTCCGCATGTACACACATCAATTATCACAAATGAAAAGCGCCGCAAAAACAGCAACAAATCATTTTCAGAACAGCAAATAAACCGCTTTAATAAAATACTTTATTTTCACGGCGTAATTCGTTTGCCAACAACTAAGTGGCGCGCGTTTCAACAATAAACTTCAAATAGCAGGGGAGTTTAATTGGGCACCATAAAATTAAGAAGCGAATTAATTTTAATAAAATAATATTTTTTATTTACATGTATATAAATATATAAGTATGCATATATATATATATATAAAGCGTATTTGCTTTTAATAAGTAAATGGGCAACGCAAAACGCAGGAAAATCATAAAAAATTAAATGATAAAACCACTTTGCACGCATCATCGCCTCAGCAGCCTGKTGGCTCGGAATTAAATGAAGTGGATGGAGCAGTTGATTGTCCGCTTTTGGCTTGTTGCATCGTAAAAAAACTTTATGACTGTCTCTTATACACATCTAGATGTAATTAAGAGACAGGGATGGAGCAGTTGATTGTCCGCTTTTGGCTTGTTGCATCGTAAAAAAACTTTATGAGCAAATAAAAAATAAATTAACTTCACACACTAGTGTATTATATGCGCTATACATGCATACATGCGTGTACCTATTTGTGGGTTTAAACTTTAAGTAAAATTCAAATTTCACTCATGCAACGTTTTCTAAGTGTTTGTGCGCATATATGTGAATGTAACTGTAATTAACACAATCTCAACCTCATTTCTCAATTATGACGCTCAAAAGTAGGCAACAAGTTTCTTCAAGCCTCGGTAGAAGTGGACATAACTGTAATACAAAAACACATTAAAGTCATGTATGCGTGTAGGTGTGTGCATAAGGCAAATTAAGTTAACTACTTTATGCTGCTGTAAAACTGCGGGCACCTATGCACATAGAGACATATTCAAATTAAAAGTACATACATATTTCGGAGGTCATGTGAGAACACCTTGAGCAGTTAAGGGCTATATCTACTTGTGACAATTCATCAGAAATTTTTAAATTAATCCGGTAAATTGCTTCAGAGAAACGGGCGGATTTGTAGGAAACTTTTAACTTATTGTAATAGACCCTCAAATGCTTAAACGCTTTTTCCTCGTTTTCAGAGTCGATGCGAAAAACTTTCTGAAACGGCTTGAAATTTTTGCACGATCTTCTTGTATTTCGATATACATATGTTAGGAAGTGATCAAAGGCATAAAATGTTTGATAATACATTCGATTCTTAAGCCAGTATGATATGTAAATTTTTTCACAAAGCCTCTCATTCCGGGCTTTCATCTTTAGTAATAACAAAAATGGCACCAAAACGGATCTGAGATAACTTAAAGCAGAAAAGGCTTCCTCAAAGCCACACACCTATTTATCAGAAGTCCCTTGGTAGMTCAGCTACGGTATCAGGAGAATCCAAAGATTTTCAAAACGAATAGCCGATTATGAAAGAACATGAAATTTTGTAAATGCAWATCTTACTTATTTATTAAAAAATTATATTCTCCAGCAAAAGTCACAAAAAGTCGCGTTTTTTCTGAAGTGCATATAACGGCTTAAATTAGTACGTTTACTTGTATTAGCCTTGCTATGACTTATTGTGTTTTATTCAAGATGGGAGATGTGCGAAAATTTTATAAAATAACTTGTATTTTTGTTTTAAAATTTACATTATTTTGTATTAACTTACTAACAGCAAAATTTCCTCAAATTCATCTTCATCCACTCGATGCCATTATACATTATTTAGCAACTCGTTCAACATTTTTGAAACTTTGTAACTTTTACATAATCAAACTTTTCTATACTTCCCTCCTTTCACTTCTCCATTGRCTTGTTATTTTTCTTTTAGATCAGCACTTTGAGTCTGGAAACATTTCCCTCGCACTTGATTAAGAAAGTTTGGACAAAAATCGATCCGCGCAAAGCATTTTTACAGGAAATTCATAAGTATATCTTACGACAAGAGGTGCGTTAGTAGATAATAGTTGCTTAAGAATGTGTGTGCGCGCTGTGTTTTGTGCTCRAGTATCTAAAGTTAATTGAATCTGWWATTAAAATTAAAACAGGTTAACAACGGAAATCAAAACAGACATAGAAACTGTTGAAAACGACAAAAAGTAGAGAATTCAACTGAACAAACTGGTTATCATTCAGCTTTTGATTACTTGTGATACACATAACGAAATTGTATAGGGTTTACTTTAAAGTTAAAAATTCAAGAAGT